CACACTTCACACTCGTGTCACATGTCAAGTTTATTCCTTATTACATTTGACATGAGCCTCAACATTTTCCTTTCCTGTCAATAGGTTCAAAATACCATCCAGTCTGCACTGACTGAATTTCCTCAGAGTTTCTAGTCCTCTCTTAACAATATTTGACTACTCCAATCTTTTCCCACAAAGAATGCAAAGGACTTGGCACCTTCGGCAGCCCCACTTCTTGCCCGGCCCCCAGCAGTGCCCTCTGCCCGCTGTAGGAAACGCACTGCACCAAGCCCCTTGCTGCCAACTTCTTCACTGCCATCCCTCATGCAAAGGACTTGGCACCTTCGGCAGCCCCACTTCTTGCCTGGCCCCCAGCAGTGCCTTCTGCCCGCTGTAGGAAACGCACTGCGCCAAGCCCCTTGCTGCCAACTTCTTCACTGCCATCCCTCATCCTCATGTATCTTCTCAACCCAGCAACCACAAGCACAACTCCTCAAACTCCGGCTCTGGCCCAGCTGGCAGAGGAAGGGGAGATGAATTCCCACCTGCTTGGGGTTCATTGTGGGGGCAGCTGCACCCTTTGTGTGATGTTTGATGGTTTCTCATAAACCTCTGGTTGGGTGCAATAGAAAAGGGAATGCTGGAATAGATGGGTGCCAACTGCCAAGGTCACAGATTGCCTAGGGCACCAAAAATGAGTCATCATACAAAGTAAATTTGGACATGTGGGTTGTGACCACTCCATTCCTTCAGTCCAGGCCAGTGTTTTAGACTGTGTTAATCTACTCCAAGACTTGGTGTGGGCAGGAATGGGGAGAGAAAGTTGTATGCACTGGGCCTGCAGACAGAACAGGAGCTGGACTAATTAAACTGTGCTCCTGTCTGAAACCATGCTGCCTCCTTATTTTGATACCAAGCACTAAGAACATAACATGGGTCACCATCCCAAAAAGATTGAGAGCTCCTGCTCTAGATGAATATTTTATATAAAAGATATTAAAGGCCTAAGCTTCTGTTGTCATTAAAGAGTACAAAGGAACATCACAGACAGTTTACTCTGACACTTGTCTTCAAAAACCAGTGTGGTGTTACCCAAAGAGGCAGTAGGTGGAGCGTGGAGGAGATAGAGCTTGCAAGAGGGGGTTAGCTAGGGGATCTCGACCAGTGTTTACGGGGCTTTCAAGTAAAGGTTCCCTTGCTTGAAAGCCAGTCGAATCCGACTCTAGGGTTGCGGTGCTCATCTCCGTTTCAAAGCCAAAGAGCCAGCGCTGTCCGAAGACATTTCCATGGTCATGTGGCCGGCATGACTAAACACCAAGGCGCACGGAACGCTGTTACCTTCCCACCGGAGTGGTACCTATTTATCTACTTGCAATTTCTTGCTTTCGAACTGCTAGGTTGGCAGGAGCTGGAACTAGAGATGGGAGCTCACTCCGTCATGCGGTACCCAGGTCTCGAACTGCTGAACTACTGACCTTCCACAGCCTGCAGTTCAGCGTCTTAACCACTTGAGCCACAGCAGTACTATAATTTCCCCTATAAGAACTCCAAAAATAAACCAGTCCACATTGAATAGGATTTTATTTAAAAGGAATAAAAGAGCAAAACATACAAAAGAGCACATGGGGGAAACACACATACAAGGCTAACAAAGGTAAAAAGGAAGCAGCGTGAGTAAAGTTTAGGGCGAGTGATATTTACCTGTCTGGGAGAACAAAGTCCACACAGAAAAGCAAGACAGGACAACCTGCATTTTCGGTGTGAGGTCTGGTTCCAGAACAACACACACACACAACTGAGGCTCTGGAGAGCACAGTTATAGCAAAAATTCTCCATGGGACAGAGTGACATGGGAACCGCAAAACAATACTCTTAATGAGTTTTCCTGAGATGAACAATGATTTGGCGAAGCTCTGATTGCTCTGTCCGGAGCAAGCTATAGTGGCTAATGGTTGATTGATTTAACTATTCTGAAGGTAAAGTGTTGCTTGATGACCAAACCGATTTATCAGATAGGAAAGCTGTTGCTATTGAAAGGTAGGTGTGGGAAGGGGGGGAATGAGGTCAGGAAGCTGATAGGATTAAATCCGGGTGGACGAGGTTAGTTCGGGGTGAGGCAGCCTACCTTGGGAAGCCCATTGTTCTGAATTAGGCACATCTTTAGGGTAGGGAGGAAAGCCGCAGCGGGGTCTGGAGGGGACATTACACCCTCCAGAATCTGTGCCCGGGCATGTCTCTCTGGCCTGTCAGAATGGCATCCATTTTGTGCAGTTTTCCCATTAGATTGCATGGCATGTGTGACCCCGGGGTGTTATTAAACAAAGGGTGTTTGTGTGCAAACTGCCCCTCAATAAGAGGATGGGTCTGCCCAGCAACAGTGGGGCAGGCTGTTGCAGAGTAAAGTAATACAGCATACAGTAGAAAGGAGGGTAGCTCTAAAACTTCTTGATATGAGACTGGGTGTTAACAACTATACAAAAATATCTGTTGTCATCAGTAAAAAAAAGAGTGTGCTGTTTCCTGAATAGCAACCAAGATCAAGAACTAAGGTCCCAGTCCCCTTAAGAAATATCAGCTACCCTTTCTTCTGGTTGCTAGTTTAAAGGTGAGAGGTGTGTATATGCAATGGCTTCAACAACAGGGCTTGCTGACCGAGAGTGTGGATGGATGGAGGACACTGGCTCATGCTCACTTTTGTTCCTCAAATAGACCGCCCCTTAAAACTACAGACAAGAAGAAGAATATTATGCCTATAGCAGAATTAACTTAGAATTAATGCTATTAGTATATATGTACTTGGGATAGAGCACCAAAAGAAGAAAAAGGTAGGGCGTTGACTTAGGAGGACTCCCTCATAGGTCTGTTAGAATGAAACTGTTGGCACATCTTTGTTTAAGGCACTGGCGCCCCCTGATGTACCTTTTAATATTGCCTCAATCAGTTTCAGCCAGTTTTGTGGTCCAATAAGAAAGACTAGCTGCAAACTCTTTACACACACACACCCCTTCCAGAAGAATAAAGTGTGCTGCTTTGGGACATATGCAGATGCATGCCGGCAAAGAAGCACTGGATCAATGAAGGGCTGAGGCCTAGTTCTCAAACACAGCAAATGATGAGGGATGCCTATTTCTGGACTGTGGTCCCAAAGGTGGGGATTCACTTGACTGAATGTTCCCCAACAAAAAATAGCAAGCATACTTTTGAAGAAACACAAAAACAAAAAATTCCCCTTATGCGCCTCTTCAGAGACCTGCCCAAGGTGGCTCACAAAATAAAACAAGATAGAACGATCAAGACATAAAAGTCCAACCACTAAAAACCCAGACAATAAAAACCTAGAACACAGATGCTCATAAAATCCCAAAGTACAAATGCACATAAAGAGGCAGAGTATCCAATAAGGTTACAAACCTCCAAGTAAGGCCTGGAGATCCCCCAGAATTACCAACTGACCAGACTACAGAGATCAATTCTGCTGGAGAAAATGGCTGTTTTGGAGGTTGGACTCTATGGTAATATACCCTGCTGATGTCTCCCCTCGGCCCCTGACCTCCCCACTCGGCTCCTGACCTCCCCAGGCTCCCCCCCCCCCAATGAGTGACAGAGAGAAGGGTAGGTTAGAACCCTTTTATGGTATAATTTAATGTTGGTAATATTCTTAATAACCTCTGGTGATATTCTTAATAACCTCTGTGAGCAAAGGGTGTCATTTATACAAGAGAAAAAGTTTTGTGTTTTCAAGTTTTCTTTGCAAAATGTCCCTCCATGTGAACACAAACTGCCCCTTCCCAAATAAATTTCACCACAGATTTATAAGATCTAAGTTTCATATATTCAAAATATGTCCTTACCATAGGTGAAGAATTAAGCACACATGCTCCTTCTTTTAGTATGAGTATGAATCTGAGGGAGATCACTGCCCTGGTATGGTATGAGGTTTTGAGAAAAAGAGAAAAGCAGCAAGAATTCCAGAGAAGTAACCTTGTTGCCTAAAAAAATACATTTGTGAAACAAAAACGCAATATGGTATTTTGACACTTTAAAGACTGACCAGGTCATTATAGCATAAGCTTTCATGGACTACAGCCACATTTGCCTGTTAGCAGGAAGGGGGAATGTACAACACGCAACCCAAAAGAATACAAGATGTAAAACTCAGCAGCCAGGCTGAAGAAGTGTGCTTGCACACGAAAGCTTATACCTTGACCTAAACTTTGTTGGTCTTAAAGGTGCCAAGGGACTCAAACTTTGTTATACTGAGTCAGTTGGTCTATCAGTATTGTCTGCTCTTGAGTGGCAATGATTCTCTAGGGTCTGGGCAGAAGTCTTTAATATCTCCTTTTTTTCTTTTTGGCCATCCCATGGGATTTTCAAGGCAAGAGATGTTGAGAGGTGGTTTGTCATCACCTGCCTCTGCAAAACAACCCTGGTATTCCCTGGTGGTCTTCCATCTAAATAATGACCAGGGTCAACCCTGCTGACCAGGGCCGGATTTAGACTTGCTGAGGCCCTAAGCTATACAAAACCCAGAGGCCCCCTACTGGTCTCAGAAAAATTTAAAATATATACGCCTTTTTAATATTTGAAATAATTTTTTATATTGTGTTTTTATTTGAGGCCCCAGCAGATTGCGAGGCCCTAAACTGTAGTTTATTTAGCTTATGCGTAAATCCAGCACTGCTGCTGACTAACCTATTACTTTCTTAAGATTTTTAACCCGAGATTGAATTTGGAACCTCCTGCATGCAACCACGTGAGCCTTATTAGACTGAGTTCTGGGAAACCTGAGTTCCAGTCCCCTTTCTGCCAC